GTCTAAAAGACAACTATTCATCTTAACTTGCATGTGTATAATAAAACCCTTCTCAGAAGGGGTTAGATTAGTGCTAGTGAATTAAGTAAATAGCTGGGTGGGGAAAGGGTTCTTCACCTCTGTTTGAGATGAGTTAGGGCTGGGAATGTAGTTCAAATCAGGAGCTAAGCAAGCCAAACCAGGTTAGTTTGGTATACAAGGCTGTCTGCATAGCATCTTAATCCAAAGGGTTAGTGTAAGTGGGAGGGGAAAAAAACAGATGTAGATACTGAGATTCAGGCTGGGGGATTAATTCTCAATGAGGAAGCAAAATACAGAGAGCAGCAAGGAAATTGCTGTTTTTCTGACTCAAGTAGTCTCCCCATAACTAAAGGTGTCACAAGAAACGAAAAACTAGTATTCACTGAGCCTTTTTATGGCAGCTGCCACCCACCCCCAAATTCTATCAACATGCCACTGTAGTCAGAGGATGGAAATGCCATCCTCACATCCTCATGTGACTCAGCCAGATCTGTTAGCTGTGGGTATAAACCTCGATGAACCTTTGTTTGGGAACTTTTTCTTAGCAATCTCTTAAATGTGTACTTGAAAAATCACAAAATTGCTTGTGTTTTTGAATATTCTAGTACTCATGGTTTTACTAAGTCAGACAGGCCTATTTACTATTAATATGAACAAATTAAGTTTTGCTTAACTCAATAACTGATTCTTCCTCCTTTTAGGGTAGTTTCCTATGTATTAGTATCAGCACAGTAGACAGTTTCTAGTTGAAGTTTTAGACAAGACATTGTTTCAAAATTGTTTCTTAGGTGAAATTTTGAGCCTTTTTGGGGGGGGAGCGTTGTTTTTTCCTTTTCTGACTCCAGTGGCCTATCATTTTGATAGGCCCTGGAGCAGATAGAAAAATTTGGGTGAGACACTGTCTACTCTCAAGATATTTATTGTTATGGTATGAGGGTAAGACACCAATGCTGATAGCTCAAATGCACAATATTATATAATAAATGCATTTGAAAATTATAAGACAAAGTGCTACATGAGGTCTGAGGGGAGAAGTTATTACAGACTGGAAGGAATGAGCAGAAGCTTCCTGGAAGATGTAGCATTTGAGTTAGATTTTAGGGTAAGAACATAGAAAATGAAGAAAATATGATAAGTGCACAAAGGCTGTATTCTAATTTTTTGTGTCTTACCTTCCCTAATAAACTGCAGGCACCTTGAGGAGAGGGGCCACATGCTTTTTGTATTCATGTCTTTCTCCAGTAACCAGCTTAGATATTTACAATACATAAGCGCTTCATAAATACTGGTGCTTGATAAATGCTTGTAAATTTATATGCTTGCAAATTCAGTTCTTTTTATGGACTATTACTATGATCTCTGGGAGTAGTGAAAAGGCAGTTTTTAAAAGACCAAACTAACTTTTTCATTCCTAAACATTTATAATAAATGACATTTCATCCACAATCTAAACGATAGGATTAATTTTTTTATGGTAATATGCAAAGACAATTGGTCATTTTAATGATGCTACAGAGGTCCTATAAAGTCAATGAATTACTAAAGGATAATTATATTCTGTATAATTTTACTATTTTATGATGTTCTGAGCCAGGCTCAACTCAAAACCTATGTAATTGTTTAGGCTCAGGGTTGGAACTGTGTAACATTTCACAAAAGAAGCTTGCTTAACAATAGCATGGAAAAGATATTCAGGAAAGAAACAGCATTGACTGATTCAGTGAAATTCTCCCACCTTTGAATTTGCCAAGTTGAACTGCCAAGGTTGAACCATGTTTTAACCTATAGCCGTCGTCTTGTGCCTGGGCAGTCTGAGCCTTAGTTCTCCCTCCCAATCCAATTAAGTCTCTAGGATTCTCTCTCTCTCTCTCTTTCTCTCTCTCTCTCTCTCTCTCTCTCTCTCTCTCTCTCTCTCTCTCTCCCTCTCTTCATTTGAAAAAAAAGTAGCAAGGATTTTCCAGTCTTAGTAGATGTTGCATCTATAGCATATGTATTTTACTGTCCTTTAGTTTTTTGAAAACCAGTAATACTGTGGACTTTTTTTTTTTTAACCTGAACCTCTGATCTCATCAAAGTAGAGAGCTCCTGGTAAGATCTCCCTTTACCAGTGCAGGTCCTCACCAGCTCTGCAAAGTAAAAAGGCTTAAAGAATTTCTGCCGGGGATACTGAGAGGTTGGGCAGTTAGGTAGTATAGTGGGTAGTGCATGGGGCCTGGAATCAGGAAGACCTGACTTCAAATGGGACCTAGCTGTATGACCCTGGACAAGTCATTTAACCCTGTTTGCCTCAGTTTCCTCATCTGTAAAATGAACCAGAGAAGGAAATGGCAAACCACTCCAGCATCTTTGCCAAGAAAACCCCAAATGGGGTCACAAAGAATCGGACACAACCGAAAAATAACTGAACAACAACCTTGAGAGGTTAGAAGTGACTTACCTATGTTCACCAGCCAATTGTATTTGAACTCATTCTTCTTGTCAGCAAGAACAGCTGTACATTCAACACCTCACACCTCCTCTCAATAATGTGTACATATCATTGTTTGGTAAGGGTTTATGGGGTGTTCAGGGAGGACTAGCACCTCTGGTGTGATGCCTTGCCAAGCCCTTTTCAGGGGTATTTATCCACTTTTGGTGTCCAACTGGTCACCCAACTCTCCCCTGTGGCTCCAAGCAGCTGTAGCATGCCCAATGGCCATTCCTGGGTAAAACTGTCTTGGCAGATGGGACAAGCTAAAGCAGGTTGAGAGTAACCAATAGACCTCAGATCTGTTGGTGAGTTAGTTGGAGCATGTAAAGACTTCCCCATGTTGGAAGAATGGGCACACTTTGTTCCAGTGGCTATGAAGGCAGCTGAGTTAGGCACTGCGGAATGCTCAGAGTTTGGTCAGGCATCAAAGACCCCAAGATCATCCACTACATCCCAGGCCGTCACCTGTCATCTTGACTTTTGTCCTGCCGCCAGGCTTTGATGACACCGGAATGAAGAGTGAGGCTAAAAAGACTGTACAACTCTGCCTCATTTAAATCCAGTTCATGAACAAATGTCATCAGTCTTCTTCAAGATGAAGGACAAACAATAATTGTTTGGTTACCAGAACATTCAGTTAACCATAATACCCCATTCTCCAGCCATTTGGGATAAAAGAGGTTTTTGCTGTTATTTTCAGTGCAGAATCGTAGGATCATAGAGGTGACAAATTTCTTGAAAAATATATTTCTAAACACAAATATCAGAAATCAGAGTGTGATAGATCAAGCCACAAATTTTAAAGATGAGAGATATGAGCTCCATGGAAGTTAAATGATTTCCACAAGGTCATACGGCTAGTATATACTAGAATTGAGATCTGATCACCTGGTAATGCTCCTCTAGACAGACTAACATGAGCTTAGGTGACCTGTGGTACTTTCAAGTCTCATCTAATATCCTACCTTCTTCAAGAAACTTTTCCTAAGCCTCCTTAGTTAATCTTTAATGCCTTCTCTATGAGACTTCCCCTAGTTTATCCTTTCTTGCACATAGCTGTTTGCATCATGTCTTTCCCTCTGTTGATTATTTCCTGTTTATCCTATATAGCTTGCTTTGTATATATTTGTTTGAGTGTTGGCTCCCTACTTAGACTGTAAGCTCCTTGAGGGTAAGGACTATCTTTTGTCTCTTTTTGTGTCCCCAGTATTTAGCATAGTACCTGGCACATAGTTACACACTTAATAAATGTTTATTGATTAGTCTCCCCTGTTAGACTGTGAACTCCTTGGGGGCAGGAACTGTTTATTTGTTTGTTAGTTTTTCCCCACCTTTCTTTGTGTCCCCAGCACTTAGCACTTTGCCTTGCACATAGTTATTGTTCAGTTGTTTTCAGTCATGTCTGACTTTTCGTGACCCCATTTAGGGTTTTCTTGGCAAAGATACTGGAGTGGTTTGCCATTTCTTTCTCCTCTCCTCATTTTACAGATAAGGAATTGACACAAACAAGTGACTTGCCTAAGGTCACACAGCTAGTAAGTGTCTGAGGCCAGATTTGAACTCAGGTAGATGAGCCTTCCTGACTCCAGGCTTTATCCACTCTGCTGCCTGGCTGTGCTGTGCTTGTGATAGATATTTAATAAGTGCTAGTTAACTGACAATGAAGGTAGCAAAACCTGTTCAGCTTTGATGTTATAGGGGATCAGAGTTCCCCTAATAACTTGCCTAGACCATTCATTTGCACTAATTTCCCTTCCTCTTGTATATTAGTCATTTATATAGTTGTTTCTCCATCTGTATATTGTTAAGTACCTCTAGAGCAATCAATTATCAATCAAAACCTTATTAAATGTTTTATTCTGTTCCAGGCACTGTGCCAGAGACTGGAAATACAAAGGGAAAGAAAAAACAATCCCTGCTCTCAAGAAACTTACATTTTAATGGAGGAAACAACATATATAAATCATTACACAAATAACCTACATACAAGAAAAAAAACCAAATAACCTACACACATAAATGTATAGAAATCAATATGTACATCTGTACATAGTAGATGGAAGGTAATCTTAAAGGGGATGGCACCGTCACTTGTGATGACGGGGAAAGGCCTCTGCAAAGAGGTGGCCTTGAGCAGAGTCCTAAAGGAAGCCAGGGATTCTGAGAGTCATGTGGAAGTGAGCTGAGCCTTCCAGGCATGGGAGACAACCTATGCAAAGGCATAAGAGAGAGGGAACATTGTACTGTTCATTGTGAGCACCAGGCTTGTATGACTGGAGTGTAGAATGTGTGAGAGAGGAGCAACGCCGTAAAAGGCTAGAAAACCTAGGAAGTGGCCAGAACTTTAAATGAAGCCCAGACTCGGTCTTGTATCTTTCTTCTTTTTAATCCCAGGTACCAAGTATAGTGCATGGAGTGTGAACAGATGCTTAATAGATGCTTGTTAAGTAAAGGTTGCATAACAGGTTCCTATCAAATTACATTAATACCGTGTTTCTTTTCTCTGCAGAATTTCAGAGGCAAGAAAGCGTGAAATCCCAGAATAAAGGAGTCCAGTTATATGACACACCTTATGAGCCAGAAGGCAATGGTGTGGATTCAGATTCTGAAAGCTTGGTCAGCCAGCGTTTGCGAGAGAGCAAGTTGCCCCAGGATGACGACAGGCCTGCAGATGAGTATGATCAGCCCTGGGAGTGGAACAGAGTCACGATTCCAGCCTTAGCAGGTAAAAGAATAGGAGTTAATGCCTGCATTTTTAATAGTCTATCCTGTATGTGTGTGTGTGTGTGTGTGTGTGTGTGTGTGTGTGTGTGTGTGTGTGTGTGTGTGCATATATTCACTACTACAGATGATGCACAAAGTTCTCTGTAGCCTCTCTGAAATAAGCAACTGCGTTTTCCACCTATTTCCTTCTTGTGAGCGTTCCACTAAAACCCATTTTTTTTATTGGCAACAGTTGGCATCATTTTAGGGGGTAACCTCACATCCATGAAAACACATAGCCATTGAATTAAGGAAGTTTACACACCTTTTCCTTGAAAACCCAGTGATGTTTATGTCTTATGTCATATGTTTATGTTTATTGCCAAAACTGTTCCTACCTCCTTGAGTTAGGTAAATCAATGCCCTAAGAAAAGGGAAAAATATGATGGAAATGACCCAAGCAGTGGCAGAATCCACTGCAATGTCCAACCCTTGTCCCTCCTAGGTTCCCATCCCCCTGTCAGCCCCAGCTTCCCCCGCACTGATCTTACAGAAATTTCCATAGCCTTTCTCCTAAAAGTATGTTGGCCCCTAAAAATCCAACCCTTGCCATTTGATTATTTCTCTCCAATCACTTTGGTTTGCCTGAATCATGTTTACCAGTTGGATGCTTAGCTCAGCTCTTCCTTCTGTGAAACTTGTATTAAGGTAGCTTCTAGGCCCAGACTCTGTAGCAGTAGTAAGTCAACCTGTCAATAAGCATTTATTAAGCACCTACTATTTCTAGCAGCTAGGTAGTGCAGTGGTTAGAGTGCCAGGTCTGAAGTCAGGAAGATCTGAGTTCAACTCTGGGCTCAAACACTTATTAGCTGTATGAACCCGGGCAAGTCATTTCGCCTCTGTTTGCCTCAGTTTCCTCTACTGTAAAATGGGGGAAATAATAGCACCTACCTCCCAGGGTGGATCAAAAGAGACAATAATTATAAACCACTTAGCACCGTGCCTGGCACATAGTAAGCACTATCTAAATGTTAGCTATTTTTCTATTCTGTTGTATATGCCAGGCATTTTGCTAAGTGCTGGGGATACAAAGAAAGATGAAAGAAATATCACAGCTTTTCTCAAGTAGTTCCTGGCCTAGTGTGGCCTCCAGTGACAGATGTCACCTTTCCTTTTGGTCCACATTACTATCAGCCCTTTTGAATCATAGAATCACTCCATCTTAGAGCCTATAGGGTCCATCTAGTCCATAAGTTCCCAAAATGAGTGATATCGCCCCCTGGGTTGCCCTGGAATGATCCAGTAAGGGGGGCAGGGCAGTAGTAGCCTCCGGTATAATGGGGATGGGGTAGAATAAAAATAAGGGTTAGCCTGACCTAACTCTGGGAGCGGGGGATAGCACTGAGTAATTTTTTTAAAGGGAGCAGTACACTGGTAAATTTGGGAACCTCTGATTTTAATCCAGTCTCGAGATTTAATAGATAGGAACACTAAACTCCAAGGGACTGAGTGGCCCTGGTGACCAGGAGCAGCCTTTCTGTCTCTTCCTCTTTCAAAGCCTGAACATTTTGGGTGTCCCACCAAGTCTTGTTTCCTATCTTAGGACTGGTTGCCTCCAGCTCTCAATTCATTTGCAAAGCAGAGAGAATGATTAATAGTTGTCAATCAGCATTCAACTTTTCCCTTCTCAGATTCCAGGCCTGGCCACTTTCCAGTTTCTTATCAATCAGGTATTCCCTAGGAGAATGTTTTTTTCTAAAACTCTGTCATTACAGTTTTATAGTATCAAAAATCCCTTTAAAATACGTTGAGTGATAGATAAACCTCCCACCAGGGGAAAAGGAGGGTCTTTCTCTCTCAGAGGGTTATATGGAGAAAGAGATTTTTTTTTAAAAAATGTAGAATAGGGGCAGCTAGGTGGCGCAGTGGATAGAGCACCAGCCCTGGAGTCAGGAGGACCTGAGTTCAAATCCAGCCTCAGACACGTAACACTAGCTGTGTGAACCAGGCAAGTCACTTAACCCCATTGCCTAGCCCCCCAAAAATGCTATTCAGAAAAGGGGTCCCTAGGTTTCACTAGACTGCCATAGGGGCCCATGACACAGAAAGGTTAAGGGCCCTGTACTATACTTAAAAAATGTTAAAAATTGTTTAGGGGCAGCTAGGTGGCTCAGTGGATAGAGCACCGGCCCTGAAGTCAGGAAGACCTGAGTTCAAATGCGGCCTCAGACCAACCACTTAACACGTACTAGCTGTGTGACCTTGGGCAAGTCACTTATCCCCGATTGCCTCACCAAAAATAAATAAATAAATAAACAAAACAAAACAAAATAAAATGTAGAATAAAACTTTTACTTCTTGTTGTATTGCTCTAATCTCTTCCATGCAAGGAGAGAGTGATAGAGAAGTGGGATTCCAATTGTCTCCACTTCATTTAAAATCCTATTCTCATTTATAATTAGTGAATGCTAATTTAAACTACTCTGAGGTACCACTTTACAACCATCAAATTGGCAAAAATACTTGAGTGGCAAAACTCATATTTGTGAATTCTTAAAGAAATTGGCTCACTAATGCATACATCACCGGTAGAATTAGATTCGATTAAGTACCTACTCAGTGCAAGGCACTGTCCTAGGTACTGAACTGCAAGTTAATAGAATCTTTTTCAGAGATTATCTGGCAATATACAAGAGTCAGAAAAATAATTGTACTCTGATTAAATCTCATTAGGATTATTCCCTTGGTCTCATCCTAAAGAAAAAGAATGACAGAGAGAGAGAGACGTAAGAAAGAAAGATACATATGTACATGCACATACACATGCATACATAACATTATTTGTAATTGCAGAGTGCTATAGACAGCTTCATTACCTAACAAATGGTGAATAACTAAATACATTGTGGTATAGCAATGTAATAGAATACTGCACCATCATTAAAACAGTGAAAATAAGGAAAACATAATTGGTAAGACTTTTGGAACGCCTCATTTAAGGTAGTACAAAGTGAAAAAAGCATAAGTATGTATACTTACTGTGACTTCATTAAAAGAAAAATGCATTTGCAAATACATGGATGAATGAACAAACACAAGCAGAATGGGTGCCAAAGAAGTAACTAATAAGCTTTTGTGGATGTTTTGAATGTAGACATTTTCTTTAATGTAGTTATAAATGGTTGTTAATTTGGTGAGGTTTTTTGTGTAAAGTTAAGTATGTGTTACAATGAAAAAGCAAGATTGTAAGGTTCAGACGAAAGAGACTTAAGTTTCTGAATAAATCAATATGTAAAATTTTGTACTTATTCCCATAGAAATCATCAGGCTATCACCATGTCAAAGGGGTCATAATATCTAAAATAATTTTATCTCTGATATTACAGATCTCTTGTGCAAAAGAGAAATAAGTTCTTGTGTATTTCTATGTTGAGCAATTAGGAATTTAGCTTTTAAAAAAAAACTTTTTATTTCACCTAGATTTCCCCCACTAGCCCTCTTTCTTCCCCTGACAGTCATTTTTTATAATACTTTTTTTTTAACTAATAAAAAGAGGAAGAAGAGAAACAATTCAGAAAAAATAATCATCTCACCAAAAAAACACTATCGATGCTCCATATCATGGACCCCAGCCTCTGCAAAGGAGCACGAAGAAATATCTCCTTATTTCTCTTCCTCTGGGCCAAGCTTTGTTCCTCATAATTTAGCAACATTGACTGTGAACGTTTTCAATTATTTTTCTTGAATTAATTCAGATTTTAAATCCTTTAAGAAACTTTTGGAATGGTTCTAGGTGTATGGAAGGTCTTACCGCTCAGGGGTCCTAAAATAAAGTCTTTCTGAGCTGTATCTCTGCCATCAGTTGCGGCCATTGACATGCTCTGGAACCTGAGTGGCATAAAGCATGTTTTGACTTCAAGAAGGATCAGATGTAACAAATAAAGTGATATATTATGTTTACTTTAGATTAATTTATGCTACCTGGACTTACATGTAGAGCCTGCATGGCAGATTGTCAGGCAAAGGATCTTGTTTAAAATATCCAGTCATGGAGTTGTTGTTCAGTCATTTTGGTTGTGTCCAACTCTTCATGACCCTATTTGGGGTTTTCTTGGCAAAGATGCTGGAGTGGTTTGCTATTTCCTTCTCCAGCTCTTTTTACAGATTGAGGAACTGAGGCAAACAGGCTGAAGTGACTTGCCCAGGGTGACACAGCTAGTAAGTGTCTGAGGGCAGATTTGAACTCAGTCTTCCTGACTCCAGACCCGGCACTCTATCCACTACACCACCTAACTGCCCCATGGTGTCATGGAGATTGATACCATATTGAGAAATGAATGGCCTGAGAGTCTGCTGAAATAGAATCGTTTTGAGGCCACCTATGAGAGTTATGCATCCAGACCTTAGAATTCTGTACCTGGATCCATCACAAGTTTGATAACTAGTTCCCAGGAGAATATTTCAGAGTTTTAAAAATATTTGATAACGATCCAATGAATAGGGACTGTAATTGAGGGGAGTCTAACTAATGCCTAGATCAGAACTGTGAGGACAAAAAGCTATCATAACATTCTGCAATAAGAATATCTATTCAGATAATGTTTGGAAGGCATCCAAAAGCTTAAAAATCAGCCCTGAATTCCTGCAGGGTCCTTGGTATCCCATGATCTACTCAGCTCTCTCTTGTAATCTCTTTATGCAACTGTCAGATGATAAACTATTGTTACAGGTTTGCCAATAAGTACTATAAAGGGGTGGGGGGCTATGTACTAAGTTTACTAAGCTAGATCCCTTTCCTCATCAGGGATAATGACATTTGCATTATTCACCTGTTAGACTCTCAATGCAATTTCCAAGAAGGTGCTACTGCTGGAACCCCAAAAGACGTATCACTCGGCAAAGTCTTATCAGCTACGGGTTACCAGGGAGTTGGGGTGCAGGAACTCCTTTGTAGTTATCCCTGCCTTTCAGTCCTGTTTCCACAATATATCTCAGATTCCTCCCCTCCTTTCCAGTCACACA